GCTAATTTGGCAAGCCGGCCAGCATGCTGCGCCGTTGCTGACGGATCCCTGGCGCCTCGCTCCCCGCTGCCCTGCCCTGCCATCGGTTCTGTGTCCTGGCGACACGATCGGCTCGGAAACCGAAGACCGGAAGCCTAAGGTTTAGGGTTTAGGGGTTTCGGGTTTAGGGTTTACCCAACAACCCCCGTGACAACATTTCGATTCCAAGACGGAGCCCCGACAAGCTGAACCCTAAACCCTAAACCCTAAACCCTAAACCCTAAACCCTAAACCCCCCGCGGATCCCAAAAATCCGCGGGGGCTCCGGGGATTCCGGAATCAGGGTTTCAGTGGGCTCAGCCCAAGCCCCAGCCCGACCTGAAAGCCTAGTGAGGGGGTGTAGGGTTTAGGGTTTAGGGTTTAGGGTTTAGGGTTTAGGGGTTAGGATCCACAGTCTCCTGATTTCGCGAAATTTCTACTCACCCTTATCGAAACTCCACAGTTCTTGAAACGAAGGAGAGGCATAGATCCCTTATAGAAGCCTTATAGAAGCCCTATATACCCTAAGCTCCCCACCTGTAGTTTCCTTTAAACAGGAGAGGTATAGATCCAATCAGGCCTCCTAAACCTCTCCCGAAGCTTTGTGGAACAGATCTCTTGCGCGTGGAAGAGAACCCTCATCAAGAAGACCTACACCCCGAAGCACCTGAACTCTGCTCTTAACCCCAAACCCTTTAAATACTAAACCTTAAATCCCCGGTTACATTCCGAACCAACCGAGCCCTGAACCCTAAACCCCTAAACCCCTAAACCCCTAAACCCCAAAACCCCTAAACTCCTAAGCCCTAAACCCTCAACTTGGAGGCAGCCTTTTCAAAAAGGCCCGGAGGGCTCTGTCGAGCACCTGGGGGACCTAGCCGCCGCTTGGGGATGGCGAGGTGGAAGAGCTCCGCGACCTCTGTTTTCGGAATTTGGGGGGTTTAGGGTTTCGGGTTTAGGGTTTCGGGTTTACGGTTTCGGCTAGGGTTCAGGGTTTGGGATTTAGGGTTTCGGGTTCACGGTTTGGGGTTTCGGGTTCAGGGTCTAGGCTTTGGGGGTAGGGGCTTGGGGTGTAGGGAGTTTGGGCCCTGGGGCTAAAGGGTCCAGAGGTTTAGGGTCCAGGGTTGTTTGTTTTCGTATTCCTTGTAGCAGAGTTTATACAGCTAACTTCATATACAGCAAGGAACTGTCTGATGTACTTCGGTTTTTTATATTAGGGTGCACGTTTCTGACATAACAGATTCTGCTACATGATTCAGGCTTCTGCTCTGTAGCCTCTTACCCTCGACCCATCTTCTCTAAAGAGTGGTGATTTTCTTCAAAGGAGGGTCTCGCAGGATCCCGAATGGGAGGCGAGTTTGGAGAACTATCTACATCTCCTAAACCCTCCGTCCTGAACCCTACAAAACCTGTCAACCCTACACCCCTAATCCTGAAATCTCGGAGTGACAAGCTGGTTCCTTGCAATGGAACTGAGTTTAAGTTGCCATAGTAACTCGGGACATATGCTGAGCACTACATCCTAAACCATAAACCCGTAAATCCAGAAACCCCTAAACCCCTCAATCCTGAAGCCTTAACACCCCTAAACCCCTACATCCTAAAGAAACCCTAAACCCTGAACCCTAAACCCTGAACCCTAAACCCTAAACCCTAAACCCTGAACCCTAAAGCCCTAAATGCAGAATCTGTTTTCGTTGTTCTGGCAAGCTGAGAGATGACCTTCCTGAACACGAACATCTAAGGACTTTAGGAGGGACCCCTAATAGGGACCCTTAAACCCATTACCTTAAGTAGCCACTGTATAGTCCTTATATACCCCTTATATAGCCAGGTAGTCTCCATATTAACCCCAATAACCTGCAAGGGTCCCTCCTAAAGCCCTTAGAGAACAGGTCCATCTCCTGCGCAAGACTTCTCCAGTAACTCTGCCCTGGCCTTGGCATGCTGAGGGCAATGCGGCAGGAGAGAGGGTGGAATCTAGAACTTACATCACTTAAGTACTCAGGCCCGGTTCAAGGAATCAGGGGTTTGACATTGGGGCTTCAATCCGGAAATTCTGCATAGCCTCAGGTTCTCAAACCCTAAACCCTAAACCCTAAACCCGAAACCCTAAATCCTAAACCCTAAACCCTAAACCCGAAACCCTAAACCCTAAACCCGAAACCCTAAACCCTAAACCGGAATCTCCCCTGAGCCTCAAGGTCCTGCGCTTGGCGCGGAACCTGCCCTCCGGTGCCATCATGGTGGATGCAGCTTATTGGAATAGTCCCTACACATTTTAGGGTTTAGGATTTAGGGTTTGGGGTTTAGGGTTTAGGGTTTGGGATTTAGGGTTTAGGGTTTAGGTCCCTACTTGGAAGATCATGCAACTTACTAAGTACGGTTATAAGTCCCTTAATTGGGGTTATAAGTAGATATAAGTACAGTTACCTTAATTATAACCCTACTCACTAAGTCCCATGATCCTTTAAGTACGTAATCACTTATGGTAGTCCCTATGTTCCTTCCTCCAAAACCCGAAGCCCTAAACCCTAGACTCAAAACTATAGTAAGGCAGGGGTCTTCGATGGCACAGACTGGTCCTTGATGGGCATCCTCGCCGGGGCCACGGTGATCGGCATCTCGACGTCGAAGTCGGAGCTTGCAGGGGTTACTGTCACGGTACTAGAGGGTGAGGGTTTAGGGGTTTAGGGCTTCGGGCGATAGTGGCTGAAACCCGACATAAGATCCCAAGGCTTCTTTCAGAGCTTGAAGCAGCACCGAAAAGGGAGCCATGTGCAATGTTAGCGTTACCTCTAAAGCTTCTGAACTCTAAGCTCCAAGCCCTAAGCTCCAAAATTCACAACCTTGCAAACAGCTTGAAGCCACTTCCCAGACATGTTGGTCCGAATGAACTGTGGAGTAACCCCTGAACCCTGAACCCTCAGGTTTAGGGTTTAGGGTTTACTTTGAATCATAGTAAGAATCCCTCTCGAGTTCTAGAGATACTCTTTGGTTGACCCGGGTGAGTCTCCAAACTGTACCACGACAATACCCCCCCAGCTGTACACCCTTAATCACCCGAAGCCGCAACAAGACTCTTCTCTATTCTTTGTCATAGTTGGGTAACATTTTACATTTTTAAGGGTACTTAAACCCAATAAGGAATATAAATTTAAATTTTTAATACTACCCCAACCATGAACTAGTTTTCGAAACTCTGAACTCTGAAGGATCGATACGGACGCTTGAAACAGCCTCAACTCTAAAGTCCTAAACCCTAAACCCTAAACCCTAAACCCGAAACCCTAAACCCGAAACCCTAAACCCTAAACCCTGAACCCTAAAAGCCTAAACCCTAAACCCTTAACACTAAACGCCGAACAAATAAACCCGGACGCAGCCGTACGAAGCCTCAAGCCCTTACACCTCCCCTTTACCCGAATGAACACCTTTTTTGAGGCCCATATGGAGCCCTTACAGGGTTTAGGGTTTAGG